TTACTGTAGTTGATTTCTAATTTCATGCTCTTGTGATCTGAGATGCTTGATATGATTTCAATCTTCTTGAACTTGTAGAGATTTGTTTTGTGTCCTAATACGTGGTCTGTCTTTGAGCATAACCCATGTGCCCTTGAGAGGAATGTATATTTTGCAGCTTTGGGGTGAAATGTTCTGTAAATATCAATTAAATCTATCTGATCTAGTGTGCCATTTAGAGTCACTGTTTCTGTGTTGACTTTTTGTCTGGAAGATCTATCCAGTGAAGTCAGTGGGGTGTTAAAGTCCATGACTATGACTGTATTGCTGTTGATCTCTCCTTTAAAGTCCTTAAGGTTGTTATTGATAGGTCCTTATTTATTGCCATTTTAATTCTTTATGCCTATGTTTCTCTATTTCTTCTTATTATTACAGCAGTCCCTTTAATATTTCTTTGCAATGCTCGTTTGGTGGTGATAAACTCCTTTAGCCTTTTTTTTTTTTTTTTGTCTGGGAAGCTCTTTATTTCACCATTTTGAATGATAGCCTTGCTGGATAGAGTAGTCTTGGTTTCAGATCCTTGTTTGGCATTACCCTGAATACTTCATGCCATTCCCTTCTGGCCTATAGAGTTTCTGATGCGAAGTCAGGTGACAGCCTTATGGGAGCTCCTTTGTAGGTAACAGATTGTTTTTCTCTTGCTGCCTTTAATATTCTCTCTTTGTCTTGAATTTTTGGCATTTTAATTATGATGTGTCTGGGCATGTGCCTCTTTGGATTCTTCTTGCTTGGGATTCTCTGTGCCTCCTGAACTTGTGTGACTTTTTCCTTGACCAGGTTAGGGAAGTTTCCTGCCATTATTTCTTCAAACAAGTTTTCTAACCCTTACTTACTTTTCACAGCCAGATGCTATGTGGGCACCTTTCTCAGTTCTAATGCTCTTGGCTGGGAAGCCCAGCCTGGGGTTTAGGTCCCAAAGTCCTCAGCAGGAGCCCCCCACAGCTGAGATATCCCTCTGGACCTTTAGTTGCTGCCTGTGGGAGCTCAGCCAGCCCTCTCGAGCCTCCGTACTTCCTACCCATCTCTATGTGGTCTCCACTTTTCCTCCTTGGTTATGAGGGTGCTCTCCAGCTCATCTTCAGTAGCAGTTGATTATTCAGGATGGTTTTTCTATATTTTAGTTGTAATTCCAGTTTGGTCCCAGAAGAGTGTCAGTGTAGCTCCCACTTAGTCCTCCGCCATCTTTAATCTTCCTCTAGATTTTTTAATGTTAGCAATTAGTTCTAAAAACTGTTTAAAATATTCTATGGGCCATGTACACCTAAAACTAATATAAAATAAAATTAAATGTCAACTTTGATTTAAAAAGGAAAAAAAGCCCTAGCTGGTGTGGCTCAGTTAGTTGAGTGTCATCGCAGGCACCAAAAGGTTACTGGATGTGTCCCAGTCAGGACACATGCGCAGGTTGTGGGCTCGATCCCCAGTAAGGGGGTGTTTAGGAGGCAGCCGATCGATGTTTCTCTCTTACATCGATGTTTCTGTGGCACCTGGGCAGCCTGTGTATGAGCTCTGGAAAGCAGGAGGTGCTTCCAGTGGGTTCCAGGCCTGAATTTACCATTCATTAACTGCTTCTTAGGGTGGTCACTTCACCTCCCAGTCACCTGGCACTGAAATCCAGGCAGCTGTTGAAGCTAAGTAGTAGCTAAGGGTGCTGAATCCCTTGTATTCATATCCGGACTAGTACCACAATATACCTGCCTTATCACTTTGATTGACTACTCTGGGCTCCAACTTACTCACCTATAAAATTCAGATAATAATACAACCCCTCTCACAGGGCTATTATGGAATTAAATGAGATATAGCATGCAAAGCACCTAAATACAGAGTAAGGTTGATGATACAGATTAACTACTGTTATCTGTAAGCTTGGTGCCTCCCTTCTCACCATCTAGTCACAATCAGGAGATCCTGCTAAACAGGATATCTAAAACCTTCTCCAATCTATCCTCTTATTTTCATCCCCATTTCATAACCTTAGTATTTCTTAGCCTCATCTTCTCTACCCTGAACTATTCATTATGATATAATAATTGTACCTCCTGCTTTACTGAGCACCTACTCTGTGCTGGAAAGAGCACCACTCAGTGCCCCACTCTGACCCACTCCCACGCTGCGCCCAGTTGATTCAGATGTCTCAGCAAATTATATAAAGCAAAGATCTGATGGGCTCATTCTCCCTGTCACCTACAGAACAAAGGCTAACTTCCTCAATCCTGTATTCAAGGCTGTCCCTATGCTCTGCCCAAGTTTACATCCTACCAGTCTCTATAATAGTCTCTTTGCTCCACCCACACCAAACTTAGTTCTTGCCTTTTCCTGAATGAGCCATACAGTTCCTGGTCACTGCACCTTGACAGAACTATTCTTTCTCCTTAGAATGTTTATTTATCTTCTTCTCACCCAATGTTGACACCTTCTCACCCTTTTAAGTCAGTCCCAAAATGGTCATCTCCACCATGAAGCCTTCCCTGATCACCTCCCTAACCAGCCCCCCCGTCGTCTGGCTCTCCCTTCTCTGTGGATCCCATCACACTTAGCTCCCTGCTAATCCATCTCACAATGCATGGTCATCTTCTGGTTGAGACGTCTGTCTCAACATGAGAAAGGAGGCCTAGGGCAAGGATCTGGCCCTACACCTTGGTTGCATCCCAACCGGCACATAGTATGCACATTCAGTGTTTGCTGAATGAATGAATGAATGAATGAATGAATGAATGGGACAGACTAAGAGGGTATTTGAACAAAAGCTGAACAATAATGCCCCTTCAAACACATCCTATTGCAAGAAATAGGAATTTTAGGGAATATGCAAAGAAAAAAGAGCATAACAAAAATACATAAAATCGCTCAGGAGCCCCTCAATTCCCTGAAATGTGTGCATTTTGGTTAATTTTAGTAAAAAAGAGATTATGAGGTTCTAGCTACCTAGGTGGTTGAAAATATCTGTACTTACACAGTGGCTGCCTCTTTTCACAGCATCTTGATCTTCACTTTTCTTTCTGTGGCTTCAGTGGAATGCGTCTGATATCCCAAGAGAAAATGTAATCCAGCCAAAGAAAAAGTCTGATTACTTGGTCCCTAATTTTTATACTGTGCAGTGCAATCTGAGAGACCCACACAACCGAAAACTGTCCGTCTTGACCTCATGTCTGTGCAGGCCTCTTCTGAGAGAGGCAACAACTTCTCAGTGCTCAGAGGACCACCAGAGGAGGCTCAGAGTAGATGATCTCAGGAAGGCGGAGATCTGGGAAAGAAAATAAACATCACTGTTTTTTTGGCATTTATAGTCTTAACTTGCCGCTGAAGCACTCATTCAATAAGCATTCACTGGGTGAATGGAAGGGTTGTTGCACAGCTGCATTCCCCGCCCCCCGGACAGGACCAGAGCCCTGGCTTTGGCAGGCTAGAAAACTGAGGCAGCCATCTCGCATAGTGCTTTCCAGCGTGGCTCTAGTCAGGCTGCTTGGGCTCAGGGCTTGGCCCTTGCAGTTTCTAGTTGGTAGAGTTGATAGACTAACAGTTCCTACTTCAGAGTTGTTGGAAAGCTTAAATGATAGAGAACATGTAAAGTGCTTAGCATGGTGCCTATGAAATTATTCTGGTTATTATAAGAATTCAATAAATGTTAGTTATCATTTGTCAAAAATATCCTACTACAGTACTAGACTTGAGGTTTCTGTAGCTTATCTTTCCATCTCTGCCCACACCCAATATCTCTATTTTATTGTCCAAGTAGGAGATCAGAGTTCCTTGAGAACGGAAGAAAGAACAAGTTATAAACTTCTAATAAATAAGAAGAAATATGGAGACAAGTAGGAGAAAACAGGCCACATACACAGGACGCCTGGTCATGTGCAATGGCTCAAGCATACAAATAGATCTGGGCTCTCAATGGCCATGCTTGAAGGGACAAAACAAAGGCACACCTTCAAACTGCTGAGGGAAATTTCCATACCTAGACAAATCCCAAGTATGGAATAAAGACTCTGTAGGCATTTGAGGCTTCAAAAAATGTGAGCTATTCTAAAGAACAGGGTAAATTATTACAGCAATTCCTCAACAGATGTTTAATAGTATTGAGCTAGGTAAAGTCACTGAATGTGATTGACTGTTTCAGACCACAAATACATGCTGAGTGGTTTGACAGTGACTAGACCAGGTAATCCAACAGACAAACATTGATTCCTTCATGGAGCTTACATTCTAGAGGAGGAGAGATAGATAATAAACAGCTACAGGAGGAAAACTCTGAGTCAGAGGGTGATGAGTGCTACAGAGAAAGAGAAAGCAGGGCACATGTCCCAACTTCCAGGACACAGGAACTACAACAGATAAATGATGTCCAAATGACATCGTCTGGACACAATCAGATAAACCCAGAATGTTGGACACACGTAAGAACACAGGTGTGAAATTTTTAAAAAGTCAAAGTTGTTAAAACAAAATAAGAGGGCGACTAATGTAGACTAAAAGAGTTAACACTCATACTCAAGAAATGAGCCCTGAGTGGATCTTGGGCCAAGGAAAAAAGTTATAAAAGATGCTTTGAGAGCGAGGAACATTTGAATATAGACTGAGTATTAGATTATATAAGGGAATTATTCATAATTATAATTTATTAAATTAAAATTTAAGAAATATAAAATTTTAAAAATTTAAATTTACTTAGGTATTAGGGATATGTAAGAGAATATCTATATTAGGAGATATGTGCTTAAGTAAACAGATAAAGCAAAGAGAGCAAACTACCATCAACTATTGAATCTAGGTAGAGAATATTTAGTTGCTCATTGTTCTAATCTTCCAACTTTTCTGTATATATTAAAATGTCCAGTGTTGCCTGGCCCACGTGGCTCAGCGGTTGAGCATCGACCTAAGATTCAGGAGATCTCGGTGAAGGCACATGTGGGGGTTTCAGGCTCTATCCCCAGCAGGGGGCATGCAGGAGGCAGCCAATCAGTGACCCTCTCTCATCATTGATGTTTCCCTCTCCCTTCCTCTCTCTGAAAGCAATAAAAACATAAAAAATAAAATAGTCAATGTAAAAGTTAGATAAAAAGGAATAGACAATAATACTTAGAAAAAGTAAGCATGACAACTATTTGGAGGAATTCTGCTGTAAAGGGAGGATCTTAGTTTCCTAGAGCTGCTTAACAAGTTACCACCAACTGGGTGGCTTAAAAGAACAGAAGTGTATTTTCTCACAGTTCTGGTGGCCAGAAATCCAAAATTAAGGTATTGGCAGAGGTCACACTCTCACAGAGGCTCTGTGGAAGGACCCATTCTTTACCCTTCCAACTTCTGGTGGCTATCAACATTCCTAGACTTGTGGCTATATCACCCCTATTTCTGCTTCTGGGATCACAATGCCTCCTCTTCTGTGTGTGTCTCTGCCTCTGGGGTCACAGTGCCTCCTACTCTTTTGTGTATGTCTGATCTCCTTCTGTCTCCCTCATATAAGAACACTTGTGGTGACATTTAGGACTCTAAAAATTGCCAGTGGGAAAACGGAATTGATACATTATCTGTTAGATTTGACTATATGAACAAAAATATTGGACAGTGTTTACAGATCTTTTGGAGACTTTCGGGGAAATTAGTAAAGGGTACGTAGAAAACTTAACAATTAAAAAAACATGAGGCTATTATAAATTTGTGTTATGATATTTGTGCTATGTTATGATATGAAGTATCTACTCCTTAGATATTTTATGGATTTTTAAAAGTACATGGAGGGGAAAGGGTAAAGTATTCCTTTCATCCTAACTATCCATGACTGCTTTTTTGTCATCTCTTACATCCCTATCAAGAGACAACAGGATATAAGAGCCTAAATCTTGACATTGATGTCTTGACAGTGGGCACTCGGGGAGTCTTTTCTCTTCCCTGGGATAAGAGTAGACAGTGGGTCGCATGTAGAAGACATTTTTTAAAAATCCCAAAGGACACAGACACAGGGGAAAAGTACATGTGATTATGTGAATAATTAAAAATCAAAGATGAGCCCGGCTGGGCATGGCTCAGCAGTTGAGCGTCGACCTAGGATCCAGGTGATCAGGGTTCGATTCCCGGTCAGGGCACATGCCCGGCTTGCGGGCTAGGCAGCCGATCAATAACTCTCTCATCATTGATGTTTCTACCTCTCTCTCCCTCTCCTTTCCTCTCTCTGAAATCAATAAAGATATATTAGAAAAAAAAAAAAATCAAAGATGAAAACAACAATAATACAAATAACAGACAATTTCAAATCAAGTGAATTCAAATTTGATGTGGAGGTGAGGGAAACCTGTGGAAATGGTGGTCATGGTGACGTGATTAAAATAGTGGAGCCCAGCAATTATTCTGGGAGTAATTATAGGTGAGATCAATGAGGATGGGCTTGGTCTACACATACAGGCCCTGTGAGCAGCCTGTCCCTTTATAAAATTGGCCACATGGGAGAGGAAGGTACAGAGACAGTGGAGGAAATGACTTTAAAAAACCTAACACACATAATCACTATTATGTGATTTGGCTTCTTACGTTTTTTCTTCACTTCTTCATTTTCTTATCTCTTCTGTTGCTCTTGTCACTTTAGAGCCCCTTGTTCATCTTTAGGATCCTCTTTCAGAAATTTTCTTTGCTTTTCCTGGCCTGCATCTTCTTCCACAACCTTCCTTATTCACCCTTTATCATGCTGTGATTTTCCATTTCTCTCACTATGCATTCTTACTATGCCAACCAGATCCTTCTAGCCCGTCCTAAGTCCATTTCTCAAACATTTCCCTACAAGCTCCTTGATTACAGCTCTTCTCCAAGAAACTAATATCCAATTTTCCTTTATCTATCGACACATCAAATCTTTTCTTTTTCCTCAAAATGTTTCCATCTCTCTCCTTATCACTCCGCTTTGCTTCCTCTGGCCTTGGTCTCTGCCTTCACTCCCAGTAGCTCTTCATTCCCACTGTCTTCTCTTAGGCTTAGCTGCTCTCCTTCCTCTCTCATATTTACCCTTTCAGGGTTAACAGTGTTCTACTTGGCTCTAGTTTCTCTTTATTGACTTGAACACTTCCTCTGCTTCTCCGTCCTCCCTTAGCTTCAATCTTTCGTCTGCCTCATTCACCAGGGCCTTCATCTATAACCTCGTGCTTTTCCGCAGAAACAGATTCATCAGGATCACTCACTCCACCCGACATCTCAACTTCCACGCCTTCCTCAGTGTCCTCTACTTCTTGATCATTCCTTTCCAGCCTTTCAAAAGGACTTTCCATCCCAGCGTAAGTAACTTCTATTACTCTCTCATCACTAGCAGCTTTTACCACTCTTTCAATTTTCTCTTCATTTATGCTCCCTGTTCTTGAACCCTTCAGCTTCTCTCCACTAGTTCCCAGCTCCTCCCTACTGAGTCCCAGCTTCTCTGCACTTGACTGCAGCTTATCTCCAGTGGATCTCAAATCCTCTCTAGTCCCCAGCTTCTCTTCACTCCCCAACCTCCCCTCACTCAACCTCAGCTTCTCTCCACTTGACCTCAGCGTCTCTCCGCTTGACCTTAGCTTCTCTCCACTCAGCTTCTCTCTGCTTGACCTCAGCATCTCTCCGCTTGACCTTAGCTTCTCTCCACTCAGCTTCTCTCCACTTGACCTCAGTGTCTCTCTGCTTGACCTCAGCGTCTCTCCGCTTGACCTCAGCCTCTCTTCACCTGGCCTTAGCTTCTCTCCACTTGACCTCAGCCTCTCTCCGCTTGATCTCAGCTTCTTTCTGCTTGACCTCAGCTTCTCTCCTCTGAACATCAGCCTCTCTCCACTTGACCTCAGCCTCTCTCCACTTGACCTCAGCCTCTCTCCACTTGACCTCAGCCTCTCTCCACTTGACCTCAGCCTCTCTCCACTTGACCTCAGCTTCTCTCCACTTGACCTCAGCTTCTCTCCGCTTGACCTCAGCCTCTCTCCGCTTGACCTCAGCTTCTCTCCACTAGTCCCCAGCTTCTCTCTTATCAGCTTCTCTCCACTCCTCAGCTTCTCTCCACTTGACCTTAGCCTCTGTCCGTTTGACCTCAGCTTCTCTCCACTAGTCCCCAGCTTCTCTCTTATCAGCTTCTCTCCGCTGGACCTCAGCCTCTCTCCACTAGTCCCCAGCTTCTCTCTTCTGATCAGCCTCTCTCTGCTCCACCTCAGCTTCTCTCCACTTGACCTCAGCCTCTCTGCGTTTGACTTTAGCTTTTCTCCACTCAGCTTCTCTTCACCTTCTCTCCAATTGACTTGTTTTTCTCCACTTGCGCTCAGCTCCTGCTCATTCTGCCCTAGTTCATTTCCTCTGGATCTCATGTCTTCTCCACTGGTCTCCACCTCAGTAAACCCCAACTTTTCTTTAAACCCAGACTCCCTCCTAGGCCCTCTCCTAGACCCTGCTGTAGTCCCCGTACTCCCAGATTCAAGCCCTGTTCCGCCGCTGACTTCTGGCTTTCCCCACCCTTCCTCCGGGCTCGCCCGCCCCAGGCCGGCGGAAGCCCGCGATGCACCAGCTGCACCGGGCGGTGGTAACCGCACACTCCTCCGTTCCGGACTCAGGCCCGACTCCCCTTTCGAGACCGTCTTCTCCACATCTTCCAGAGTCCAGTACTCAGGCTCAGGCTTCGGATTCCACAGCCTAGGCTTCTGCGTGTTTCTCCTCAGGAGCTCCTTTCTCTTCCCAATCACGATGAGCCCGTTCCAGGGCACCCACATTTTCTGCCGCAGCATCTGTGACACTCTGCTTTCGGGCTCCAGTTGGAGCCACCCGCGGACCCCGGCCCGGTAGCGGACGCCCGGGCCGCAGGCGTTGTCGGGCGCCCTCGTCCCCCTGTGCGCCTCTCTCCTCCGCTCCCTCGGGTCCCAGAGAGGAAACCCAAACGGAAACCCTTTTTCCGCATACATTATAGTCCTGAGCGAGTCCGTCACTCCCTCCCCAGCACCCCATTA